TAAAGCAACAAGCTACCCTCTCCCCTGTGGCTAAAGGAACATCCTTTTTATGCTCAATTAAGCTTTTTAAAACTAAGATGATATTTATTGGCTTCGAGGACAAATCTTGTCTGGTAATCTTACAGGCTTCTCTTTAGTTCATATTTCATGAATCAGAACATATCAGAAACAGATGTGTATACATTCTATACTCTGGGAATACAGGTTAGTTCTAATTCACTGCTTTGTTCTGATTTGTTTGAATTTCAGAATGGGGTTTGGTGACTGCAGCACAGCAATATTCAAATGCCACTGTATGATTCTAGGCAGTCTTAATTGTTATAGTGACAGGGCAAATGAAGCCTCGGGAACCCTAAGACCTAATTTGCTGGCATGGCTGAGGATCTTTATTTTTATTTATTTATTTATTTTATTAAAAGCTTTTGTGTGCTGTCCTATTTTACAAAAATCTCAGGACGGCTTACAATATTTAAAACCCTGGCATGAGGTTTGCTTTCGGCAACATTTTGCAGCTGCACACGCTCCTGTGTCTGCAGGTGGGAAGGGCATGGAGGGACCCCTAATTGGTGCCTTCTTCCTGCAATTCTTTGCCTTTGCTTCCCCACCGGTGATAGTGACACATGTGAGAAAGCAGGTACTACAGCGAGCAATTGGAGGATGCACAAGGTCCTCTGCTTTATTTAGAAATAAGTAGATGGGTTCGGTTTGCCATTAATAAAGGCCTTTCACCACACTTGTAAATAAGCATCTCAGGGGTTAAAACTGAAGAAGAATTCTGTGCAATCTGAAAGCTTCTACATACAGGGAAGTGTTCGTCCAGGTGGCAGGCTGCCCAGATGCTCATCCTGCCAACTGGAAAAATGGCTATTCTTAACTGGAGCCGTATGGCCTCCCATGGAACAATCTAAAAATTGGTGGCAGCAGAGGGAGGAGTGATAGGAGACCATGGCAGCAAGTCCCTTAGTGGAGCTGAGCAGCTGCTGATCCTGCCCTGAGGATAAAATTCGAGATCCTTCATTTCCCCAGCACCAACACCAGCAAAAAGTGAGTTCCCGGATGTCTCTCCACTCAGGACAATAATCAATCGGATTAATACTTCTCCATTGGTGTACAATGCAACTACGTGTGTGTCATTCAGACACACTAGAATGCAGTGAAGACAAGGAAGGAAAAGGTTCTAAAAGAGAACTGCTTAACTGGCTCAGAATGAACAGGAAAATGTTGGCAGATGGTCAACCAGCACCAAATATAGGCCTGCAGTTTGTTCTGTCTGTGCAGAAGTATACCTAGACCTCAGAACACCATTGCCTTGTTTGGAGTGCTATTGGTTTTGTTCTAATTTTCTTATGGGGGGTTGTTGGGGTGTCTCAGCCATAATTCATTTTATCCTTTGCATTTCTGTCCTGCTCTTTGTGTACTTCACCAAACGGTATGTATAAACATAACATGTAAAAACCTAGTACAAAATAATATTAAATATGTATATTTAAAAAGAATAAAGCCCATGTAAAAAGAGGTAAAAGCCAGAAGCAGTGCACAGATGTAAAAAAGCACTAAGACAATTGTTCAACCTGAAGGGGGAAAAAGTCAGGAAAATGAAACGGTCTCCAACTGTTGCTGAAGAGACCGCCGTGTGCATCCAGGCCAGCCTCTCTGGGGAAGGCATTCCGGAAGTGGGATGCCAGCACCACAACTGATGTGTGCACAGTGAGTGGCAGAGGATGCCTTGGCTGCAGCATCAAGGACACAGCTGGGAAAACAGGAAGCATCCTCAAGGAAGCCAGATGCTCTTAAATGCACAGGGACCATCTGAAACTTCCTCATGCCTGCCCCTTCCTAGGGGATGGGAAGAGGGACAGGAGAAGGCAAGGCTGGCAGAGACTTTCGAACTGTGTGCTCCCTGTGCCAGTGCATTGCTGAGAAGGTGGGATGCAGAAGCAAGCCTTTCCAAAGGGTCAGGTTCACAGGGTCATCTGCCCAGTTCCTCAGCACTCCACAGCTGCTACTTTCTCAGCTCTTCTCTCCAAAAGTCAGTTGATCAGACCAAACCCAAATTCTACCAGGCTCATAGAAGTGGTTTCTGTACTTTCTAAGGTAGCTTAGTTGGCCGTCACTGAATATATACCACGAAGCACAAAAAGACCAGTTCCTTACTGTGAAAGAACTGATTTCTTTCTGCTTCCCTTTCAGCACCTGTCAGTCTTGTGGACAGTTATGAGACCCACATGAGGCAAAACACTCCACACATCTGGACCCGTGAAACAAAAGTATTACCCAAACAGGAGGTCTCAAGATGCCTCGGTCCGGCTGCTCCAATAAAAGAGCTGAATTCCTCTCTGGCGCTGTTGCTTGCCTTGGCCCATATTTATGAGTTTTGCTTAGAATACTTCCATTCCAGGAAGTTGCCGCAGAGGTAAAGGAGACGAGAAGCAGGGCCACTCTATCAGCCTGCTGAAAGATCACGTCTGCCAGCCTCTCTCGGAATAGTTTCCAGTAGAACCTTATAAACATTCCTGCCTGCTTCCCCCGCCCGCCCGCCCACTTCCTCCCACAACCCCTTTTCCATTTGTAGTATATATTTTAGATGTTAAACCTGCAGGCAGGTTTGTTTTTGTGTTTTTATTCATCATATGTAAGCTGCTCTGGGAAACTTCAGCTAAAGTAAAAGGGTAAACGCTTTGCATAAATAAACAAGACAATGCTATAGCACTCTGGAGTGTCCGGAGTGCTCCTTACAACAACCTTATAGGGTAGATAAGATCTTTTATATTGTTATTTATTTTATATTGTTGGTTTTATATTGTTATTTTTGTATTTTATTGTATTTCATTCTGTGCTGTGAGCCGCCCCGAGGCTTCGGCAAGGGGCGGCATAGAAATGTTTTAATAAATAAATAGATAGATAGATAGATCAGGATTATGAATGAGGCTGAAAGGGAGTGAATTGCCGAAGGCCACCCCGAAGGCCACCTGTAAAGTGGTAAGATTCAAGATTCAATCTGTGGGGCCTTGCACGCCAGGCAGCCACTACACCAGCCCTCATTCCATCCACACACACTTTCGTCTATGAGTCAGGAAGATCCTGGTTGAAATCGCAGCCTGCTCTTGAACTCAAGAGCCACAGTTCTCAGCTTTGCTGCCTCGGTCTATAAGGCATGGACAATCGGACCAGAGGGTCCTTCTTAGAATGGCTTAGGATGGATGCGAAGGGCAGCTAAGCAAAGAGTTTGAAAGACGCATTGCTAAATATTACCTGCGATGATTCAGGGGCTTCAACCAGGAGCCATGAGTCAGGAAGAGGACCCTTTTGGTTCTGTTTGTTTCTTTGTCTTCCCTTGAGGCTTCTTCGGGGGATCGGGTCTGGCCCATTCATTATGTGCCTCCCCCAGTGGTCTGGGCTTTCAGTGCCTTCCCTTGCACAGAGAGGGCCCTGGATTTCCTCTCTCGGTGGGGATGGCAAACCTGGATGCATTCTTTTCCCAGCTCTCAGGCTAACAAACCTCGGGCCTCTGTCACCCCCCCGCACCCCCCCACACGCTTCATTTATTGGAAGTTGTGTGATGTATTCAAATAAAGCATCAACAACACTGCGCATCTAACAGATCGCTCCGTGCGTGTTGTGTGTGTGTGTGTGAGAGAGAGAATGGCCATGAGCCAGAGACTAAGAGAAATGTAAAAAGGGAAAATGATGAAATAGAATTAACATACTAATCGTCGGACTGCAGCGGGCATTTTCTGCATACTTCAGAGAGTCCATTTTAATAACAAAAGTCTACGGAAGAAAGAAAGTCTCTGATGCAGACGCGATTTGCCTGGGTTTGGGGGCTTTGTTCTGGAGTTTTGATCCCCCTCTTATCGCCCTCTCCTGAAGCCAGCGCCTCTTCGAAGCTCCCGGAGGATTCATCGTGCGAATCTCTGATGTTCCTCTTTCAACATCCAGTCCCTGCGAGCTATCACAGACTCCAGAAATATTCGACGCGGGCGTGTGCAATGCCTCTTCCCTGAACACCGCCCCCCACCACACACACACAAACACACGCACACACGAGAGAGAGAGAGAGAGAGAGAGAGAGAGAGAGAGAGAGAGAGGGAGGGAGGGAGGGAGGGGCGAAGGAGCGCTGCAGTAGCTCGACCCCTGCTGAAAAGCGGCGGAAAGTCAATTTGGCACACTGGGCACTCGATTTCCTCAGCCCCAGCCTGGCAGGGCGATCAGAGAAGAAGCTTCAGCTTCAGGAGAAAAGTGAGACGCTTGCCAGAGCTCTCCTCGAAGAAGAAACCGCACGCCGTAGCTCGAGAGTTTTGTTTCTCCATCCTGCGAAAGAAAGCAGGGGTCGCCCTCCCCGCAGGACCACAGGCGACCAGAAACAGCCAACTAATGCGGCAGCGAGACCAGAGCACTTCCGCAGCAAGGGAGGGAACGGGAAGCATCGCTGGGAATTCGGCAAGATGTCCAGGCAGCCTCTGGCGCTTTTGGTGGACGTGGCTTTGCCTTAATCGTGGAGCTGCGGGCATCTCTTTTTTGGGGCACCCTCCGGACGTCTGTTGTGTGGCTTCCCTCCAAAGCGAGTGAGTGCCCTTCTCCACAAAAGAAACAGCGCTGCCCTGTTTGACGAATCTAACTCAGGGATGTGCGTAGCGGGGTCCTGGGGGGTCCTGTTTTTCTGTGCATGCCTTGCTGTTCAAGCAAAGTTATCAGCTGGATGACCCGTCCATTTCTCGAGGTGCGCATGAGGTGCGTGCAAAACGAGGACAGGAACCACAAAGAGCTACGCCAATGCCCAAGACCAAGAACTTTTGCCGATTACTCCCTTGGGGCAGCTGACTGTTGCTTATGCCATCTCTGAAGGCTCTTTGAGAGGAAGAACCCAAGCCTGTTTCCCGCACAGGATGTGGCCAGCTGGCCTGGACTTGGTGACATAGGAGGACCTTTCCTTGCCGAGCACACGCACACCCCGATTGGTGTTCCCTTATGAGCACCAGGGAAGAAATCCAAGCAGGAAAATGTATGGGGAATTGTTGAATTCAACCAGTGCAACCAACTCGCAGCTAATCATTCAGACCAACACTCCCTACATAGGGAGCACCCAGAGACCTGTCAGCTCGTCTGCTTTTTACATGTCAACGGCCAGAGTGTTGAAAGAAGGTGAGATTAATAAGCCCGATCTGGTGACTTATGTTGTGCTGTTCTTCTTCCTGCTCCTGGCTGTGACCATAATTGTGCTTTTTATTAACTGCCAACTGAAAAATTCCTTTTTTGCCACACTACCTTATGACAGGTCTCTGCGAGAAGCGAGAAGCCCTTGGAAAACACAAGCTGTCTAAGCCTCAGAGCTAGAAACAGGAGAGGGAACAATGTGGTGACAGGGAAGGGCTCAGCCGAGCCCAAATCCTTGCGCCAGACCTGACTTCCCCTTGCGTTGGGGTCCACTGAACCACACACCAATGATGTAATTTCTTGTAAACATCTGGACGTAACATCTTGAAGAAATGTGTGTGTGATGAGAGCTATCTGAGAAATGGATAAATCCATAACCGTCCTGTGGATTTCCATGAATACAAGTTCATTAGTTGTGTCACGGCGTGGCACAGAGATCTGCCATCTCATTCCACCTGCGGAATAAAAGTGTGGATGCGAACTGCACCAGTGGCAAAGTTCTGCTGCTCTGTACAGCGATGCTTGTACTGAGAAATGAAGGCAGCCAGCCTCTGCTCTCTCTGTTATGAAGTGAAATGCTTTGAACTATGTTCTTAAAAGCTCGACACCAAGGAAGTCAGGGTTTCCCCCCCACCCAGGAACTTTGGGTTCTCATACAATGATGTGTGTACATATTGCAATACAACAGATGACATTTCAGAAGAATGGGGAAGCATGTTCTGTAATCTCAGGTGTGACTTAGGATCGGCTCTGTTGCATCGATGGGGGTGATTGTGTCTTGTTTGTTGGCGGTCAGATTTTGGAATTATCATTAAATGGCAATTGTTGTTATTCTGTCTATGATCATGCAAGGTCCTGCGAGTGGCAGCTTGACCTCAAGAATGTAGATCCAGCTATACAGTATTTCTTTTTTGAAAAACCCACGGACAAGCCTTGCCCACCCTGGTGCTCTCCTGATACTGGCTGGTTATGATGGGAGTTGCGGGCCAACATGTCAGAAAGGCACCAGCTTGGGAAGGCTGCCATGATCCATGGATATCCAGCATAATCAACTAACTCCAAACAAGGGGGTGCCACAACTTTCTACAGTCTGCTCCACTTCCCCGTTTATTCAGTGGCATCCCCAACTCCCTTACTAGTCAGGCTAAATCTGTTCTCTATTTAGCCCTTTTCAATGTGTCAGTCCAGTTTGAAGTCAAGGAAAAGATTCATGGCTTGGAATGAGTCACGTTTAATTGTTTACACTGAGACAAAAAGGACATTTAACTATGCAATCCTGTTCTGGTCAAAAGATATCCCACTGATTTCAGTGGGTGTGGGTACAGAAGTCTCCCCCAGTCTCATGCTTTCTAGATGTTTTGGGACAGAACTCCAAGTATTGGAGAACTTCAGAACTCCAACTGTTGGCCATGCCAAGCTGGGCTGGTTGGAGCTGAAGTCCAAAACATCTGAAGAGTGCCAGATTGGGTAAGGCTGTATAGACCACAGTTTCAGAATCTGAACAGTGTGTGCTGGGGAATGGATAGTCCAAATTCAGCCACTCAATGAATGCAAGATGGTCTTATACTGCACAGAGAAGAGAGGGGGAAACAACATATGTTTAGCCAATGGCATGAAATTCAAAAATCCAGAAGATGTAAAACTGACCCCCCCCCACCCCATCTAACTTTTTGTATCTTCCAGGATTAAGCCAGGGTTTTTTTTAAAAAAGCAAGAATAATGTTAATCCCATCCTCCTGTTTGTATCACTGGTGATATAAGGCAAAGAATTGGCAATTAAGATTTGTTTGCTTCAATTTCCATGAGAGATTATGTGTTTTATACTTGATGATTAGCAAGATATATAGTATGTTTAAACCAAATCCTTGGATGTACTCAGAATTATTCAGAAGTATAATCTTGAGTATTAAAAGGAACTCTGCCAGCAGATGATCTGCTCCATCACTAAAATTCAAAAGTGAGTCAAATCATAGATATGGCCATGTCTCAGTAAGTAGTAGGCATTTCATCCACTTTTCACTGGTGTTAATTCAGTTGCTCCATGTAAGGCACATGGCAAAGAGCACAGGAAAAGGTTTGAGTCTCTTACAACATCAGGCTAATAATGCTGTCTGTCTGTCTGCCTTCCAAAAAGGACACTCTGAATATGAATGAGACATCTAAATAAAGAGGTAAGATAGCTGATTGCCAAGATCACAGGTTCTTGGACAGTAATAAATTTCTTCTCTGAGAAAATAAGGAAAAATTTTGGCAAGTGTAGTTTCTCTACCCCAAATGCTGCGGTGGTAATAAATCCTACCTTTTGGTAGAGATTTAAAGAAGCTGTGGGCAACATGCTAGACCACTTCTCTCTGTCTCCCTCCCCTTCCTTCCTTCCTTCCTTCCTTCCTTCCTTCCTTCCTTCCTTCCTTCCTTGGTATAGATACCTTTCCTGGTACCCCACTCTTCCATTTTTTTTTCTTTTACATTTGAAGTAACCCCAGCTGCCAGTAAGAAATTGCTTTTTAAAAGTATGGTGGGAGCCTCTAGCTGCTGTCATGTTAACTTTCCATGAATCCCTCTGGGGAGGTTACTCGTCTTTTGTGGGTAGCCATGTCCCCTCATGGCAGCCATGTTCTGGTGCTGCCCAGTTTCCCAGAATTCCAGATTCTAGGAATTATGCAAAGCAAGGCAGAATCCTGTTGCATGTAGGCAAATACATCTATGAAAGAATTTTCAGAGAAAGGAAACCAGGGGGAAGGCTAGGAAAGGTGACCATATTGACGATCATGGAAAACTGGACTGGCGATCCAGCATCTGCAAGGACTGGTGATAATAGCCTCAGCCAACTTCCCAACTTGGTCTTCTTCTGATGTGTAGGACTAAAGCTGATACACCCCCAGCCAGATCTCAGGGATTATGGAAACTGTAGTCCAAACCATCTGGAAGGTACCAGGTTGGGAAAGACTGGGCTCCAGAAACATGTGACTGTGCAAGTCAAACTCTTGACCGGGCAAGAAAAAAATACAAAATATCTATTTGTATATCCTGTCCTGTATGATAACACTTAAAAGAAACATCCCTTTATCACTTGTGCCAGGAATCTGCAGAACAGCCTACGCAACTATCATTTTTAAAGCAAAACAAAACTGTTCTCACTCATTTAATACTGGTACACTTCCCAAGGTATTATTCTGTCCGCAAAGTCAATTAAATCATTAATAAATAATTCACACAATCTCTGCATGAAGTTAAATTTTCTCTGGCTGCAGCCATTAGCTTCATACTATGAAGCATAGATCAAACACAATGATTAATACAGTATTTAGCCTAGATTTGTTTATACGAATGCAATAGTGAGCATTCACTTAAAACGTTGTTTTAAAACTCATCGCATTGAATTGTGTTCTTTCCTGTGTATCACTCAGCAGTGGCCATGTCAAAAAGCAATTTTCTTTGAAGTTCTGAGCAGCCAGGAACAGCTACCTGTAAAAATAGAAAGAACTTAGCCCTTACAATGGGAAGAGAATTCAGCGTTGGAATGGCAATATACTTTGCCTGCTTACCCAGCGGGGTGGTATGAACTCCCTTCCACATTCCTAATGGTTTTTGGACCATTCCAGGGATGGGGGTAATCTGGGGCAAGGAGGGGGCAAAGGAGGAAAAGAGAGGAGGAAAGCACCAATGGAAAGGCAGAAAGAAAAGGTACTTCAAAGATGCCCATAAGCCATTTTCACTGCCTCTTTGGGGTTTCCTCTCTCTGCATTCTTGGATTAGTGTTGTGCTCTCTGTTCTGTCCTTGCAATGGATCAAGGTGATTAAAGGAAAGGAATCAAATGATATGCAATTGATGCAACACGAGTGCATAAGACAGTACTCCAAGAACAAGCAAAATGACCAATAATAGCATGTCCTGTTTATACCTTCCATAGACATACAGTTTAAAAAATAAAAATGTTAAAAAGATTCCAACTGCTCAAATATTTTAAAGATTAGAGATTCTTTAAACAAGCACACACATGCTATGCATATATATCTAGGTATATATTGATACACATTGTAAAATATATGAAATGTTTCAGTATACAATACCAGCTTCAGTTATAGTATAACTTAAAAACTGAACCAAGACCAGTCAAGAACAAGCTTTACTACAGAGTAACTGGATTTGCACAACATATTGAGATTCTCATGGCTTATTTAATCCATGATATGTTACAGTACATGCAGCCATTGTTTTGACAACAGAATTCCCAGCTGAGGTGATCAGGGGCTGCCACATGTCATGGGTTATTCAACAATTAAACAACCCTGGCATAATCCTAAAATAGCAGCAGCATTATGCAAACTGGCCCAAAGGGGCAGGAGAAGGGGGAAGCATAGCCCCCAAAATTGGGTAGACGGACCTCCCACAAGCAAAGCCTTTCATCTCATGAAAGGCAGATCCTCAATTGATCATGAAATTTGGGAACACTTATTAAGATCTATTTCACATAAATGTTTTCTTATATTTTCACTGTATGATGGGTAGGAATTCCCATTGTTTATGCTGATTTAAGATTACAAACTACTTTGCATGCAGAGTTTGCTGAAAGTCTCACTTCATGTGTTCGGAGCCTCTCAAAGGAGTGAGAAATTGCTGATACTGGAATCCTGGCAGTGCATTAGGGCTGCCACACTGCAAAGGCAGCTGAATTTTCTGCAGATAAAATTTCCTCTGGGGTGGAAGTTGGTGGTTGCCATATAACTTTTCTGTATGACAATGAATATTCCCTGCAGAAAGTCAACAGCGTGTGAACACTGCACCTTTGTCGAGCCTGGCAGTTGCTGGAGAATCCTCAGGAGCCCACCTGGGGAGACAGGACACTCTGAGGCAGATGGCAAATCTAATTCTTAAACATGAGAGCTGTCTGAAAATGCTCCTAAGGCAGACATTGTAATCAGTCCACCTACTGATCAGCCACACACATCCATCCCGAAGAAACCTTCTGCCCGTGGATGGTGCCATCACAAACGGAGGCTGTTGCAGATGCCCCTGAGGAAGGACACAAAACCCAGTTATAAAAATTGTAGCCATGGTTTCCAGACAAAATTTATCAGCCAGGTTACCGATTATTGGTGTAACATTCATTTGACAACACAAACCGCGATGTCAATTATCTGAAAATGCACTAGCTTGAACCTTGGTTACCAAGGCATTCCTCCTTGTTGCCTTCTGATAATTTGTTTTATGAAAATGGTTGATTTTCCATTCTTCAAAGGAGACCTTCTTAAATTCATATGTCCCTCTAAGTAAGAAAGCACCTGCATGCTTTCTCTTTTAGGACACCCTTGTCTCCTGCCATGCAAAGTGGAAGAGCTCCTAAACTAAGTTCTGATAGTTGGGACACAGATTGCCAATGGACAGAGATACAAATGGAAGTAGATCAATCAATTCTTGGTCAAATAAGCCTTGTCCAGCTGAGGATAGTTCACTTCCTGCACAAATGAGAAGTCACTTGTGAAAGTGATGGCTTCTCACCGTAACGGCTATTTACATGTATGCGCGTGTGCGCGCGCACACACAGAATACTCGTTCTTATGGGGATCCTTATTGGAAAAGCACCACTGAATAATTATCAATAATGGAAAACACGGCAAGCTGCTAGAGGAATGCAGCCTTGGGCAAAATCTGTAGAAATATGAATGCATTTTGTGCCAACACATACCTGACCTGAGCGCTCTGCATTTTGCCCTTGGTCATTTCAGCACTGAATGCGTGCCACCGATGCACAGCATGCGATCTGCCACGTGATCTGCACTGAGGAGGAAGCCATGCTTGTGCCCCAGTGCATAAATATGGCAGCGTATCAGGAACTGCAGCAGCGTCAAGCCCTCATCCTGCAAGACACTTTTCCCAGAGGAAGAGTTCTCAAGCGCCTCTCCGTTTGTGTGTCTTCCTTCTGTTGTGTCAGAGCTTCAAACGCAGCTTGCAAGCTGTTTCTAGGGGGAGTGGGGGGAGGTGGCTGTGTTATTCTTGATGCCACTGTGCTATTTCAGCCTTTTTAGCTATAAGTGAAAGGATAGGATTGCTCTGATCATGAGGCAGAGAGGAGAAAAGAGGAATCACCAAACTAAAATTGTATACGTAGAAGTGTGTCACGCAGCCCCCTCACAGTCATGCTGTGTGCAATTAAAGGAGCACAGTTGTGCCCCCCTCCCGCCACTCTGGTGTACTTGAAGTCGTGGGTTCAATCACCAGTAATTCCCACTAAAGGATCTCAGGCAGAGAGGCTTGGAAGGGCTTCTTGGGTGCGGGATGCCAATCAAAAGGGATGTACTGGGTTAGACACAGACTAGTCCAGACTCCCTGCACATGGTGGCCTCCAAGTACACCCACTGCAACTCCCATCATTCCCAGCCAGTGTGGCTAGCCAATGATGCAATGACATGGAGGGCACCGAGTTAAGAAGGAAGTCTGGCCTAGTCTGATTCTCTGAAAGGCAGCTTGTTATCATTTTAACTATGCATTTCAATAGTGATCAGTCACTGATGTGGAAACCCGTGAACTCCTCATCACCCTTCAGAGTCAGGAAATCCATTGCCCTAAAATGCCACTTCAGTATTTAACCTTGAGATGCAATATTCCCCCTTTCACTCAGCACCCTTTAAAGACAAAAAGTAGTTTTGTAAATGCATCAGTGACTGCTAAAAATAGAAAAAATCAGTTGTCGATGGGATCATTTGGGGGGTGTTCCTTGCCTTCCACATCTTACAAAAGCAGATTTCAATAACTAGCAGCTGGAGAACAGAGCCAGAGGAAACATTCTGCTTTCCTGCAGAGACGCATTGTGCAGCGGGATGTGGAGTTTGCGTACGAGTGGGCGGCCCCATTGAAACTCGGGGGGATTTCAGTTCTTCTCCATCACAACACCCGGCAGTGCTCAGTTGGATGCTGTTTTGATGAAGGACTTCCTTTTAATGATCCTCTAAGAAGTGGGTCTATTTAGATACCTAGTTATTTGTGCTCTGAAACCGCAGAGGCGTCAGCCTGTACTGCGGAAGGAACATCGGTGGTGGCATTCAAAAGTCTGCTCTTGAATGCCAAATGCAAGGCTCTTCCAGTGCTCCAAGCAGAAAAAGCAAGTCTGAAACAGATCTGGATGGGGTTGTCCCACATGGGATAATAAATGAAGCCATTTAGCTGGAAATGTTATGGACAATATTCAAAAACAGTGTGAAGAACACTTCCAGACTCAACTATTTTGAAGCAGACACACACCCAGAGGGGGCTGATTACAAGTCAGTTACTCTAGGATCTGTTTTGCTTCTAGAAAGAAATTCCTAGTCCAGTGGCTGTCAAACGTATCTGTGGGGAGCTCCTTGTGGAACACTTTGTCTCTTGAGGAGCTCTGCCCAGAATGCACCCTGTCCACAGAAGATCCTGGGCAGGCAACTTCCATTCAAAGTGAATGCTAGTTAAACTTCTCTCTCCTGGGAGGGGCATTTACACATCACCAGCAAAGCCAATTTGTCACAGAAAGCTAGCTTGCATATATTCTGCATATGCTAATTTCTATGTGTGGATGCTAATTAGGGAATTTAAATAGATTAAATACTTAGGGAAATTTAAATAGATGCCTTGTGCCTTGCTCAATCTGTTGCAGAGGTGCTGGCTGTTGATAAGCAACTAGAAGCCCCATCGGCGGGGAGGGTGTTCAAGGATAGGCTGAACACTGACATGGTGGGCATGTCATAAGTGGAGCCGGTTGGAGGCGGGGGTCAGACTAGATGGCCCAGGAGACCCCTTCTGGCTTGCTGTATGTTTCTATGTTTCAGGGCCCTGCTCTTTCTTCATAGGATCCCTATTTTAAAGCCAGGCTTGGATGGGACAGCTTTTCAAATAGAGGAAGCTTCAAAGAGAGACTGTCCTCTTACAGATCTCTGTAAAGTTGGACTCCAGGAATGAAGAGTGTTCCCTGGATTGACAAAGTCAGCATTTGCCTGCACATTACGGAAACACTAGTGGTGAGCCAGGTGTCTTTCCAGGAAGTTTGCCATGACTATTCTTCTTCTTCTTCTTTCAAATGAAGTTCCTTAGGAACGACAAGCACAATCCACTTTTCTGGGAATAAACCCATTTCATGCAGTGAGACTCACTTCTGCTTAGACATGTCCAGGATTGCGCCAGAAATTTCCCAAAACAGAGTGAGACTGTTTAAGATAAATCTAGCACAGTGCCAGTTAGACCCTGCCTTTTATTATTAGTCTCTCATTCTATTAACATTGCTTGTGCGATTCCCAACAGCAATGTCACATTTCCATGGAGATAGCAGTGGATTTCAAACCTGATGCATCATACTAAGGGATTTATTTTGTTTCTTATTTAGACAAACATTTATATTCCAGCCTTCTTGTACTTGCTTTTTAGGAGGGCTAATGTAAAATTCAGTTCCAACAAATTCCAAAGAAATTACAATGTACAATATAATAGCAACTGAGTCAGGTGGATAAAACAGAGGCCTAAGACAGAATACAGAGACAGTGGATAAAGTAGGCATTGAATAAATAAACACTTGGTAAAACAAAGACCATACAGGACGGTCTTTGCTGTGTAGCAAAACACCAGAAGAGAAAGGGCCAGCCACTGGCCACAGAGTTCCACAATTTCAGTGCAGCCACAAAGACTCTCTCATCCTCAGGACTGAATTAGGCCCAGAAAACTGAGATCTCTATCAATGTGCTCTGTATTTGAGACACAGAGGTAGATACTTTAGAGCCCATGTGATCCATGCTATACACATTCCTTCTTGCCACCCTTGCAAACTGATCATCTCTGAAGCTATGGAAAACTAAATACAAGAAGAATTGTAAAAAGATCACAGAAAATCGGTGTTCAAATACTGACTCTTCAAATCTAAACATATAAGTGTGCATAATCTAGAGGTGTAAAGTAAATGCCCTCTGAAAATTCTCTACCAAATTTGTGGACAGATAAACTGGATGAACAATTTCATGAGCAGGAGAAATCCTCCGACCGTTTCTCACAATCAGAATTCACCATCAGACGGTTCATAGGACAACTGCTTTCTCTTTCTCCCAAGGGTTTTTGGTTTCTTGGACTGTCCACAGCAATTGGCAACAACGTTCACTGTGTTGGCAGCCTGGTCCCAAATTTGTACCTTCTGCAGTGATGCCTGCCTAGCATCTCTCCAGGGCAATGTGGAGAGGAGAAGGAAGGCAGCCATCACATCAAAGGGGAAAAAATGGATGAAATGGCCTTTCATGACTTGGAAGTGAATGAATAAGAAACAGAAGATCTCAGAACTTTTCTGGGGAAGGTACCTTCTGAAAACGGTTGGCACAACAGTGCTTGTCATGTCCCAGCATCCAGTGCTACTTTCCACAGTAGCTTCTAAACATTACATTTCTGAAAGCTGATTGTGGATATATTTTATGACACTGAAACACAGAAACGGTGGATTGTCAGCATGACGAACAAGTCACTCACATTCATAAAACAGCTCATGGGCTCTGCGGGGCTTGTTAACCACACCAAAAACATGGAGTTCAGGACACAACAACCTTGGCCATGGCTTGAATATTCAAAAGCCAACTGGCCACTTAGATAAGCCACAGTGAGCTTCACCCCAGTGTCTTTAAGCACAGCAAGGGAAATATTGTACATTCTTTTGATTATATCTTGGCCTTTTAGTTATTTTGCAGACAAGTATAGCTTCCTTATAGCCTGAAGTGCCTGATCCTGCTTAATCTTGGAAGCTAAGGAGGGTCAGGCCTGGTTGAAATCTGGATGGGTGACTTAAATGTTGTGAATCGCTCAGAGAGCTTTGCTATGGGTGGTACAGAAACGTAACAACAACTTATGGATGTTTCTCTAATGCATTGTTCAACTGGACCACTGAGTGGAATTTCAGGCCAGGGGATTTGTTAGGGTCCCATTTCTACTGATGACCATGAAAGGTACCTTATCATAAAATCTGAAGATGAATTTGGATTTTGAATGCCTCCATAAAATCAAAGTGCAGTGCTATAAGTAGATCAGAGCTTATTATTACTCACACCAACAGTTTCTGAAGAACACATGCCAAGGCATTTCTTTCACAGCCGATCATGCTATTTCTGAAACTAAAAATACTTCAGATTTTGAAAACAAACTGACTAGCTTACAGAACCTTCCCAATGACCTCAGTCAAAGCAGACTGATTTGCCTGAAAACAAGTCCTGGTTTACACATGCATGCTTATCACCTAACGAATTCAACACTTTGTGTGTGAGATGGGCAGGTTGTGGCACATTTTTGCTGCGTGTTGAATATTTAAACCACCCTGAGTGGTTGCTGTGGCTTATCAGTGGTTGCTGTGGCTTATCGTGTTGTGCAAAGCAGAGAGGGTGGCTTATGCAAGGGTTAAGCAACCCTCACAAAACCCTAAAACAGCCGTTAGCTTATGGAGGGGTTGTTTAGCCCTTGCATAAACCCTCACTGGGCTCCCATGACATAAGATACAGAAACTGCCCACTAGAGTTTGAACATTCAAAATAGCCACTGGCAACGGCCAGAACCCAGCTGCGGTGATGATCAAAATGTACATTGTGTCTGAAGAACATTCGCATATGTAAGTTACTTCTGCAATCATCAATAAATGAGCATGCACCAAGGCAAAACCCATTTACAATCCCATAAGACCATCACCACTGAACCACAGATATTAAGAGTACCTGGGCACCATTTCATATCTGCCTCACTTCAGCATAGTGGGACAGAGCAGGGAAAGAGCCGGTGCACATGACACAGCAGCCCATCAAGGGTTAATTTACTCTTGAGGAGCTGCAGCACATTTCCGCCACATTATGAATGTACAACTCTGCCCTGGCACTTTTGAGGGTTGTTGCATAATGCAAACCCATTTCTTGAGGATCAGGCACCATTTTATAACCTACTACCTGTTGTAGGGTTACACATGGATTGTTTAATCCTCAGATATTCTCCCGCTAGCTGGTTTCACGTGACACAATGGTTGCAGATTCTTGATGGCAGCTGGTGCACATCACAGCTCCTCAAGGGGTAAATTAACGTTTGATGGGTTGTCATATCATGTGAATTGGTCCATTGGCTTGCTGAGATGCCTGGCATTCTGCTTTCACTCTTGCTGCTTTAGGTTGTTCTGTTGCTGCTCATCTGGGGAATGTAAATATGAAAATAAAGGAAGAGCATTTCCAGTTATTAAAGCTTCCAATTAGGCAAATCTTTTGGGTTCAAAGCCTCATTTACATCCCCCTTCTTTCCCCTGTCCAGTAATTTGGATAAATGCTGTCATTAAAACACAGAGGGAGGGAGTGGGGGGGGCAGGGGAGGGAGAGAAAAGATGCATTTCCAGACACTTGAAATGCCTTACAGAGGCTTGAAGTTCAATGATTTCAGAACCCAATTAAATTGATCAGCTTTCTAGGCAAGTCTCATTGACATGCAGCATTCTTTAAATGTTTTAAGTGCAGATGGTGGATTAAGTGAGATGAATAATAAACTCCGTAAATATTTTGTCAAATCAGTTGCAACTCTTATTGAAGCGGCCACATTAAAGCAGGAAATTCTCTCTCTCTCTCTCTCTCTCTCTCTCTCTCTCTCTCTCTCTCTCTCTCTCTCTCTCTCTCTCACACACACACACACACACACACACACACACACACACACACACCAACTGCTCTAGATTAGTGCACTCAGCCTGCAGAGCATACCTATGGATTGGTGGCACCATCAAGAGTAGCACTGTCCCTCTATGAAAACATGTTCTTCTGCCACTTCAACAGGTTCAGTCTAAATTGCCTCCCTCTTTAAACGAGCTCCTCTTGGACAAATTGGAGAATCCCGAGAACTTCTTGGGGCGGGGGAGGTAGATGAGGTAGACTGGAGATGAAAGCAAGCACTCCGTGAACTTCAGTCCCTTTTCAGTCCACTGTCACACCTCACATCTCTTTGCATCCATCTACACGTGTCAAGATGGTCCCTAAAAAGAAAACAAAACTCCTGCCTCCGTCTGCTTGGGTGGAGCGATCCTATATTGCACAGGAGGCCGTATGTGCGTGTGCTGGCAGCCAGTTGGGCCCTCCTCTGCAGAGATGACAATCCATCCTACACATGAAGTAGGATCAAGAGCTCCAGGATGGAATTATCAGCAAAACTACTGGGGGGCAGGCAGAAAGGAGAGTCACCTTTTGAGTGTTTTCTGCCACTTTTGACTCACAAGAACTATCAGATCATGAGAAGTCCATGTGAAAAACTATCTTCCAGACTTTTGAGGAGGCAGTTCTTTAAACTGGAAAAAAACCCCTTGCTAATTTGATGTGATTTGATATGCAGAGGGTTCCAGAAGTGCCACCCCACCTGCAGCCTGAAGAGCTATAGTTCAGCCTCCCGACTCTCTTCTGCTGCACATACAGACCAGACCAGAAACAGGACAAAACATGTCTCTCAAGCCACTTCCTACTATGCCGCTATTAAAAGCAAAGGAACATTCTCTTGGGCACAAACTGGAGTGCTCAGATGTGATCAGACATTCAGCCTTCTCTACACGCGATGAGAGCTCAGGGTATAGAGTGGGGCTTGCATGCAGACAAGAACAGCTTTGCTTCGACTTGCAACGCAGCAGTTCAGCGTCCACCTGAAAGTCAGGGGTGAAGGCCACCGCTTGAAAGCACATCATCCGTCCCCTGGAGCGGGAAGAGGTGCTTTCCATATGCTTTCCAGACACAATAATTGGTTCTCCCCTGTGCAATGTGATTGTTTCCTTGGGGGAGTAGATTCCAACCTCAAAGCAAGGGTGGAAGTATACCCTCATGATATAAACTGGAGGCTGCTTCAGCATCCTGATGGGCACCAATCGGTGATGAAAAGAAAAAGTTGCCTGCTTTTCTATTTCTCAGAGCAGGAGTATCTGCTCTGTTTAAAGTCTGGGTATTTTCCAGCTCCAAAACGGCACTGTTTACCAGGTGGAAGTATTGCTCAGCAGGCAAGAAATATATCCTGTTACAACTTCTTCATGCAGAAAGACAGATAAGAGTAGCCCAAATATTTCACGGTTTTGCTCTACAGCCAAAAAGCTGTTACTATGACTCTCTACTGAACTCCCAAATAAAAGAGCATTAAAACAGCCCACTGAGGTTGAAAGTTCAGTAGAAACTTTAAGAATGGAGACACCTTGGAAGAAAAGCATGACTATTATTGCCACCATCTTTTTGTTCTTTTCCATTTCAGGAATCTGTGTACTTTACTGTGTTCGGCCTCACTTCTCTCCCCCACCCTGCTTTAACTTCGACTAGATGAGAGGTCCTCTGCTTGGCTTAGATAGCAGAGGCATGTCCAAAAAATTGGACAGACTTCAGCAAGCAGAAGAGATGCTAACAAACCACAGCATCACCACATGTAGGAGCCCTGCTGGGAGAATCCAATGTCTCTAAAAAGATTTTATGCCTTGTTTTTATTTGAGAAATAAAAATTATTTCATGAAGAGAACTTTCCAGTGAAAACTTAGGCTTGCCTTCATTTAATAGCACTACTGAAGATGTATTAGAGCTAAGGACTATTCCTTCTATTACTATTTATTCAGAAGGATATTTCATTCCAGGTGTTGGTTTGCTTTCTAATACTAGGCCATTTAGGTAGAAAATGTCAGCCTCTTGATTCTTCGGGAGACAGCACTGATGGTAAGCAAGTATCATGGAAGGAGGACTTGCTTTTCCTGTACAGCCCTGATGTCGGTTTCCATTAAGACAAGTAGAAAGCCAAACTCACACCACAGTTCTTTCCAGCCTGAGGCTCAGCCGCACGGCTGCCTCCTTCCTTCCTCCAGAAAACTACAGGCCTGCCTTGCCTTGTTCCTTGGCTGGATTCTGGCCCATTACCACTGGTTTCTTGCATGGTCGTCCGTGTGTGTGAGCTTCCCAACTCAACAACATGACTGAAGTTCATTAAGGAGGTAACCAGGAGTCCTGCTGGTAGGCCAGTTGTCCATCTAGTCCAGCATCCTGCCCACTCAGTGGCCAACCAGCTGCCCACAGGAGACCCACAAGTGGGATGCGTTTATTCACTCAAGTTCCCCAGCAAAGGGCACACATGGGCTTGCTGCCTCTGATAGTGACCAATCATGGCAGCTTTGCTACATGTGATGCAACTACTGGACTAACACAAGGGGCACAGCATTAGTGGGATGCCCATCATCCCCACCTGGACACAGGAGCATGCAATGAGTAACAGAAGAGATTATCAAGCCCTTTAACCCCTCTCCGAGTTTGCTTTTCTGATGTCAAAGGGTAGTTGGCATGATCTTCCCATGCTGGTTGCAGGGGCGAGCGAAGTGGGCATGAAGGTCCCGTTCCCAGCTCCATGATCATTGCACTGCCTCCAGCCTGGGATCTGGGAATCTGAACTACCCTATGGTCCATAGGGGCCTTTAATGTTCTGTGACACCCGTATAAATATGGGATGCAGCCTGTTGCTGAACAGCATGGATGAAGTAGCTTTGGCAGATTTTAGAAAGATGTGTAACAAACTCTGCAGGGACACCTGTTTCTTCAACAGTATATTTTGCTGTTAGTATATTTGTGCAACTCCCAAGGTTAAGCCAGGCTTTTAGCAATCTCACAAAGCACTTCTGGAACCAAAACTGCATTGCCAGTTTGCACCAAAGTATATGCAGTTAAAATTTCTTTACCAAGAGAAGTGGGATAATGCAATTATTTGTCATTAGGGGCTATGCATCTGAGTACAGAGCTTTAAAAACTGCTGAAGAGAAACAAGCTTGGAAAAAGATTTTAAAAATAGTAGAACACCATGATAAGCTTTGGGTTGGCCTGAACAGCAGGCAATGTTTTCTCCTGTGTGTGAGCTCTTATGGACCAAAATAGCCATTACATTCTCATCAGGAAGTTGATGAAATTGACATGTTATGAAAATTCAACCTGCGATTCATTTGACAAATAGAGCAATTCATCATTTCCCATAAGGCATCCTTGCATATGAATTGCAAGCAAAATTACAAAGCAAGCAAAATGCTGAAAGATTGTATATTGTTTCAATTAGGCTGAACAATATTGGGAGTTGCTAATGTAGGATCCCAGGGTGGGCATTCTTAAACTTCATTTGAGGATTGTAATCTCTAGCTTTTATATCCAGGTAAGCTTCTCCTGCACAATTTGTCCATGAGATCTTTTAATATCAACCAAAAAAAAATCTAAGTGTGCATGAAGTTGTCTTACTGTCCAGAAATAATTTGAATGCTATTATGCTCCATTTTAAGTGGCTAATACCCATTTTGCAGTTTGGCATCACGTGTTCAGAGCTCCTGTTTCAGAAAGAGGGAGGAGGTCACTTGAATGTTTCAATTCAGACTTGCTTACTAAAGTTAAAAAAGGATTAGGGAGGAGGGCAAGAGGCAGCATTGTAAAGCAAAGGAAACATCTGTAACAGCTTTTTTTCCTATACAGATGATTTATGGAATGGATCCAAGGCTTATATTTATCTTTTTTGAAGATACATTTCATTTATTAGATTTATATCCTGCCCTTTCTTTAAAAAGAAAAGCTTACATCATTCTCCTCCTGCTGCTCTCAATCATATCCCAACAACCACCTTGTGATACAGCCTGGCTTAAGAGTCTGTGACTGGTCCAAAGTCACCCATTTGGCTCCATGGCTGAACGGAGATGAGAATCCAGATTGCATGAATCCCAGATCCATGCTCTTAACAACTATACCACACTGGCTCTCAAAAGTTGTACTATTTGTATTTTTTTTAATAGAATTATAAATTAAAATATTCACAGAAGTCAGGTAACAAAAAAGGATTGCACTTGTTTAAAACCCACTTTCATCTGAGATAAGTAATTTGGTAATTATTGGTAATACCGAATGCAAGATTTTGCGCATGGTTCTCACCACAAGAAATGGAAAGTATCATATATTCTCAAGACAGAGAAACCATTCCGTTATAACCGGTAGCACTAGATACCTAGAAATGAGTTCGTGTGCTTTTCTGGTAATGAGCAGGAACGCACAAAGATATCCTACACAACAGTGAGGCATGCAGCAAGACAGGGTTAGCAGGAAACAGATCAAGATCTACTGGTGGAACTCTGGGAGATATGCAGCAAGCTGTCAAGTGTGAGACTCCAGTTACTTCAACAATAGCTATATTGGAATGCTCTAACAAAAATGAAGAAGTAGACGAGGAAGGTAACAGTTGTGCTTCTGTGTGTGTGGGCAGGGTGGGGACGACGACTGTGGTTTGCGTTCTGATCGTGATGACACGTTCTTGGGAGTTCAAAATGTAAAGAAGTCCCCTGAAGCTACCACGTTTTATTTGGCTCTGCTGGGTAGACCTGGTGCTCTGAGTTGCACAGCTGCTCGGGCCACCTCATGTGCCTCTGGTTACGAGTTCACACAAAGCAGTATAGCATTCCTGACATTACTCTAAAAGGGGATCTGTAACCAACTATATTAGCCCTCAAGGTTCCTTGTTCAGGTAGAATGACAAAGGGGTTTTGCTTTCCTCTGAATGTACTCAAATATAGAAGCGGGGAAATGAAGCAGCAAGTTTTTCCCGTTATTAGTTATTGCCAACAGGTGTCAAGAGTGGAGGAAAGGAGGCCACTGGTTGGGCTGTGTCCCAAGCAGAGAAGAATGAGCTAGATGCTAGCAGGTCATCCAGTTCAGTGCCTTTAAGCTCACAGACCAAGCAAGCTGCCCAAGGACTCAGTGCTGAGCCCTTACAAGTCTAGAGAGCTTGTATAAGGGCAGGCTAGACATGCACATGGTGGGCATGTCATGAGCAGAGCCGGCTGGAGCCGGCGGTCAGACTAGATGGCTCGGGAGGCCCCTTCTGACTTGCTCTGTTTCTATGTTTCTATAAGCAATAGAAGCAAGTGACCGATTGCAGGCTGTGCAATTTATCCAGGACTCTCCTCAGCCTCCACCTCCGCTGCCCCTTGAAGCAACGATGCAGTGGCACAGCAAATAATTGCAAGCAGAGTTACATGCTGAGGTGTCAGGTTGGTGTGTTCAATGTTCAGGTGCGCCTCAGGTGTACCGACATGTGAATGTTTAAGCACTATAAATACCAGCAGCAGACCAGATGCTTTGTTTGTTGAAGAATGTCAAGCTCTCTCCACCTCTGCTAAGACCAACACTTTAAAAAGCCTCGCTGCTGTCATCTACTTCCACCCCCAGCTCTCATGAAGCCACCAGAAGCAGGCTGCCTGCTATACATGCAGACAGCCACGCACTCAACTCTGTTATCAGCACAGCCTCATTAATCCCCAAAGAGTAATGCAGTATTAATCAAGTCTTCAAAAAGGCATCTGGATGAAAAAGGGACTTTTCATATTGGACAAACACATTTGGCGGTTAAAAAGAATCCAGAGAAAGATTAAATTTGGATAAGGAAACAATTCAAAGTACCATAATTTGGGAATTAATCAAAATGTCCGTAGCAAAGAAAAAAATAGCAGTTATACTTCAAGCATTCATCTAAACAATAAATGGAATCAATTTCTTCATTGGTGAAAGTTTGTCTATATCAAAGTAGATTAAGTACGACTTTTTGAAAGATGCATTTTAAATCTAGAGACCTAACATTTGAAGTAGCTTCATGATTTTACTTACACCACAGTAGAAATGCATTCTGAAGAGTTACTGTTTATTGAGACTGCAAAAGTAAACACATTAACATAGTCAAAACTAATGCAGTACAGGCACTCAGAAGAGTAAAATTAAATCTTGTGCTAGAATAAAATTTCTTGCAATGTAAACAGAAGCACAGAGGTTATATCAGTAATAAACACTTGCATGCCATTCACCAAACCGCAAGGTGAAGCATCCTGAGGAGTCTACCACCCTTGGAGTTCCAACTGCATGTTCTCACAGAGATCTCAGCGCTCCATGAGTCACTGCGTGCACACAAATGCAACACCTTTCAAAGATTTGATTAAAAATACTGCTACCTACCAACAACTCAGGTAACAAAATATTAACTTTTATTGTTTCTTAAGGTAGTTTGAGGAAGGTCATGATATTTAAAGTACTTTTCAGCAACAGACCGCAAGAGAGTCTGTTCAACAAGAAAAAATGGTAATACTGTGAAATAAATCCAGGATTAAAAAACAAATAAAAACTGTTACATAGTTATTTTTTACTAACCAGTATTTTACATAGATTATCAGATCGGGCAGAACAAATGATCTTGTTGAGAGAACATACATTTTGGAAGATTCACAACCACAATTCAGCCATGCTCACTATGGAAGCAAGAAGTTGTGAAAATAACTGTTATAAGGAATTTCAGAAATGTTCAAACACACTTTGACACACTTTGGTCCTTCAGCGGGTTCATAATCCAGTGAGATGTATCGCTCTTGTACAATTTAGGTAATTCAGTTTTATAATAAATTAATCTGGAGTAGAGATGGGATGCTAATTTCTCTGGTACATTCTACTGCCTACCAGATGCATTATCTAGAATTAAAACTCCCCATCATGTGTGTATCCTGCATAAGTGGGGTCTGCCGTTATCCTTCTCCATAATGACCCCTAAACAGGACAGCTAAGACAGGACATACTACCAGAAGGAATTATTTATTTTAGCAAAAGAAAACAGTATCTAGGAAAATGAGATTATAACTCAGTCTAAATGTGAATCGATGGTCTGCTTTCCTTCTTACATACATTATGCAAGCACAACATTATGGTTGGACAGACAACTATGGTTGTGAAAAATATGGCAGGCAATAATAAGGCATTCCTTAGCTATTTATTCATTTACTAAAAGCTTTTCTATCCCGTCCACTACAGAACGTCTCGGTTAAAAGCTAGCCTTTTGATGTACAGGTATCTAAACAGCAGCTACTGAGCCAAGTTAAAGAACTGTTAACTCAGCATGTATGAAAAAATCTCAAAAAGGTAGAATTATAACAAAAGACACAGTATTGCCTCAGCATGTTGGATCTTACAAAGAAGAGAAAAGCAGGTGGTGATTTCATATTTTTGGACTGCAAGAATTATCATTGTGCTTGACAAGGGTATCACATGTAGTGTTTGACTGCAGAGATGCAGAAATAGGATTGTATCCAAGGTTAGTCCTCCTTAGCCACTAGAACAAATAGGATATTAGACAAACAATGGATATAACCAACATGCACAGAATTACTTCTCCTGCCACAACACAGTATACACTGGTTATACCAAGTATTGGTACCTGAAAAATATACTTAAGCTTGTAGGAATGCGATTCTATGCATGTTAAAACAGAGAAGAGCCCTACAAACTGTAGATCTTTTTCTTGTCTAAACACACATACGACTGAGCCCTAGATCCTTTAAACAGTAGAAATCTTAAGTAAATAAAGGGGAACCTTTGATGCAGCTTTAATAATCTGCTTGTACTGAAAATACAAATGAGAGGTTTAAAAATCAAGGAAATATGCTAATAGATGACACCATCTTAGGTATTACATGGACAAAAAGACCATGTGTGAGCACAGAACATCTAAGGTCACTATGATTGCAGAGAAAAACGGCTAAGTAATAATGATCCATTCAATGCTCCTGTACAGTTTCCATTCATTCCACTAAGGCCTGAGCAGGAAAATTTCCCACTGCAATTTCCCCTTCTCTAGCAGTGTGACCTACAAAGGCAAGAGTTGGCTTTGTTGTTATAACAAGGAAGTTAACTGCCTAAAATATAAGGAAACAAAGCAATTCCTCTACTTCTCTTGTTCAAAATGGAAACAAAGTTCAAGAAAATTGTTTGCTTTTAAAATAAAATACAAATTAGTAATATCTACACAAAAGGCATTATAACTTTGTGAAAGTCAATTTCATTTATTTGCTCTTTAAAGGAATTGCAAAACATCATTTCTGATATGTAAACAATTTTATTCTTTGCCCTTGAAGATTCTTTATCATGTGCTCCCGTCACTCAAAATACCAGAAGCTGGGATGAGCCAAGAAGGCTAAATAGTGCAAGTCAGATTAGATGAAATACTTCACAGCGCACATCATCACTACCGAATTTACAAGATGTGGTGATGGCCAGCAACTTAAACAGGTTTAAAGGGAGATTACACAATCTCATGATGGGTAGTGCTATCAAAGGCTCCTGGTCATGATAGCTAATACTGTGTCCAGCCCTAAGGTATGCTTCTGAGTACCAATTCACCAGGGAATCGTAACAGGAGAATGATAGTCATTGCCTCCATATCCCACTAGCGGGCTCCCCACAGGCTTCTGCTGGTTGTGTGGGGAAAAGGATGGAGGGCTAGACAGGTCTTTGGTTTGATCCAGCAAGAGCTGCTCTTACGTTCTTAACACAAAACTATCACACACACAGAAGAGTCCGTGGTGTTCAAGAGATTACATTTGCTAACAAGAAGATAGGCCTTTCTTCAATACTCTAGATCTCTGAAGCATGCTTCACAGATGTCACCACAGGGTACAGAACTTAATGTCACATGCCAAGGTATGACATTATAATGAAAACAGACAAACAGACACTGTAGCCAACATCAATCTTACCAGCACATATGCAGTTGTAGGTAAAGGGTAGTATTAACTTGCCATGAATTTCATGAATTCATATTACTACCTGAGTTTTAAAGTAGGGGTAGGCTAACTTCAGTCTATTTTTTACCCTTTTACTGTAATCCCTGTGGTCTTTCAGTCAGTTTTAAAAGTGGCAGATTACTTAACTTCTCAGGATTGTGTGTTAAATGGTTGTAACTATCTGCCTGGTTCAGACCCTTGTCCACCTGCTCCAGTATTTTCTGCAATAATCCCACATAATGTGGTCCACACAATGTGGTCCACTATGAACCAGTCTACTGGTTCATAGTGGGCCATTGCTTTAAAGACTTTCCACTTGCTCTCCCTAACCCCCAGTATAAAGATTTATGTCAGGAAATAAATACTTCTACAATATGTCCTCCTAACAGCATTAGAAGTAGGCAGACATCACTCATATTAGGTGGGCTGGAAGAGGTCTGTGCTGCAAATTTTGGATTTACACACTTTCATTTATGCAAGTTGGCAGGAGGCCAAGGAGCAACACAGGGCACCAAAGCCTCAACCCAATTACTGGAAACCCTACAGAGCTGTATTTCCATAGCCAAAGGAAAGGGCAAGCGTAAGGAAAGGAGAAAAGTCAACAATGCTAGGACGCTGACGGAATCTCAGGTGGCAGAAGGTTCTGTTCAGCACTAAATTCCTAATTATTTTGAGCTTGGATAGAACCCACAGAGGACTTCGGACATGTCAGACTAAGTAGTGAGATTTGGTTTTGATTGTTGTCATTAGGGAAAATTTGGTCTTCTTCCGCACCAGTATCAAATGTATTTGGCAAGCTACTTATTGGCTTTAGTTCCCTAAATTTAATATAAAACAAAATTTAAATTCAAAGGTGCCAGCATAGGAACACCACAGTGACTGTAACCAACTTTAAGCTCACCAGCTTATTAAGCAGTTGTAGGAACATGATAGTATTTGCCTTATCATGAAACCAGTAACAGGTGATGCATGCAAGCCAGAACTGCATGAGTTTTTATGGAATTCATCAGCAAATGAGCATTGGGGAGGGGGGAAATTAAATAATTTAACACTGTTAGTTAAATTATTAGTTAGTTAAGGAAGATCCGATAATTAAGGCTAGATTCTCCAAAGCTTCTGCTTGCACAGAGTGGCTGCCAAACATACATAACACATGCAGGATAATTGCATCAAATCAAGCATACTGGTAATTTTCCTGTGACTTACGCATACATCTGTCTCTTACAGAAATAATTCTAACTGGACATCAGTGTCCTCAGTACAGAATAGCTTACATTCGGTGCATTCACTGGGACCACAGCGTACTTTGCTGAGCCCTTCAGACTTAGGAGCAACTACCTCAGTATAGAAACAAGCTGTTAAAATTGACAACTCTAGCGCAGGTTATACAAGGGAGCAACTGTATATAAGGGATTAAGAGTCATGACCCTGTAAATCATGCAGGTTCCAGTTACCATGATCTTTTTGTAATCTTCATCGGGGGGCTGATCTGCCACAATTATCTAAAGGGCATTTTGTATTATTTACTGAATTGAGATGCCTGACTCTTTTGGTTCTAGTCTGGAAGGATTGAAATTTATACTGCAAAATCATGGTAGTGAAGTTAGGAAGCCTCCAGAATATCAGCTACGTAGATGCAAAATAAAATGGACAGCTAAGCACAATGCATCTTCTTGCAATGATATATACAGAAGTGTGGTGTTTTGCACTCTTATAGGTAGCTTATCTAAAAAACTATACCTCAGAAATGTGTAACACGCAAGCACAAGTCAAAGGAAAATGCCAACTATTCTAGGCAACAGAGTGCCCTCAATCAAACGTATATGAACAATCATGCCAAAGGGTGCGATTCTGTGGCCTCCTGACATTATCCGTTCGGAGGTCTTCCAACTATACAGCTCTGAGTCCATATGCAAAGCCCCTGCCCCATCCCTCCTGAAGCTGACCCAGAAAGAACCAGGTGCTTGGTTTCTGATGATGGAAACTGACTCCAGAAACAGCAAAAGGAGCGTGCTGGGGGACAGAGAGGAGGCTGGGGCCAAAGCTGTATCCGAACAGCACCTCCGCCTCCTTCCCTTCCCCTTCCCTTCCCCCTAGATGCACCTCATCTAGATGGCCAAGAACAGGAATCAAAATGAAATACAAGATGCAAGGTGCAGGCAACAACATTAGATGCATGTAAGCTTTGGTGTTCAAAGGCTTACATGTACTGATGGTGCACAGCTTAGGATCATGCCCTAAGGCAGTAATCCAATACATTAACAACTTGGGAGCCCGCCTCATTGAGATCAGTGAGGCTTCTAAGTAGACATGGGTAGAGTTGCACTGCAAAGCAATGTTAAATTTAATTTGAGGTAAAGGTACGATTGCTATTGTTTATGGCAGTACTTGCAGTAATGCATTCTAATACCACTACCTGTAACAAGCATTTTTCAACATGTACATACTAAAGTCACATCATCATCATCATCATCATCATCATCATTATCATTATTATTATTATCTGAGCTAAAGGCAATCTCAGGTGTAATAAAGCTAGTTTGTTTATGGACTTCCATCATCCACAAAATTATACAGCAACATTAAAACTGGGTGTAAATTGGAGCTAAACATACATATTCAGCAGAAGAGATAGTGTTATTGATTCCCTAAAGTCAGTTCAAAAATGTGTTCCTAGAAGACACATCAATATATTTCCAGTGGAGTCAAATATCTTTAAATATGCATAGCAAAGAGAACAAAAAATTCTGAATTTTCAGATTTACTCCAAACTTGATTGTTTCTTTAGTATCAAAACAAAAGGAAAAATAATAATAAAAACAGTGGAATTGGTCATCAGTAGAAGAAGAAAGCAAACATGGTATGTTTTTATAGTAGCCACACTGGAAGTTTCTGTAGAATTAGAAAATGGTCACTCATATGGTGGCTGTTGAAGAAATACATCGGCACTATGAAACAGAAGAGATGGGGTTAAGGGGAGAGCCCATTTGGGTAAGTACTTTATCCAGCCACTGCAGAGGCCCGTGAAGATGAATTTCTATCCAGCATGGGGTGCTTGTAACATCTTGCCGGTGATATTCTGCTCCCCATCCCTACAAAAATAAATGCGTATTTAGTAATATTACTGTTCCATCTAAGAATAACTGATACAGTTAATGTCTTCTTTAAAAAAAAGCACAGTGGTACTTACCAAAAAGGTTCCTCTTGGTACCTCTTAGAGCACCTCTTGAAGGAACATCTTGCAAAGATGTCCAGGTTCATTCCCCCTACTGACCAGGTAGAGCAAGGGCCCATGTGACTGCATTTTAAACACTTCATCAATCTAAATCTCCTAGCCAGTTCTGTTCATAGCTAAAGCTCAGAAGCTGAAGGTTCAAAAAATCTCTTTGTATTACAGGTATGGAAGAACCACAGAGGAACAGACAGTTTGTTATAAAATCTGTAGAAACCAAAGTGAAAAAGATTACCTTTGAGTGTCAGAAGGCACAGCTAGCCAAGTGTAGATACAAGTGCTGATGACCTATGCACATTTACAGGGTGTGGTTGAGATGCTTCTGCATACCAACCCAGAAGGAAGCTTCTCAGTATGTACCAATGTTCTGCTCTTTGGCTTGATGTGTGGAAGGCACTCCCCAATGGGACACGCTCAAACTGAAAGCCTTCTTTGAGTGGAAAAAGTGTAAGATATAGGCTATTGTACCACTACTACTTCCTGGAGACTTTCCTGCCTAAGTAGGATTCCCCCGAGGCATGTCTCTCCTTGTAATGCCTTACAAAAGGGGTAGAATTTGTCCAGGTGGCTGCTTGGAAAACTTCTGCCAGAGCAGCATTATTACTCAAGGTAGCTGCCGCTGCTGCTGCTCTAGTGCAATGGGCTGTGACTCCTAATGAAGCATCAGCATCGGTAAGAATGTGTGTTTTTAACCACCTAGATACAGTGGATCTGGTACTCTTCTTGCTGACTGCTATCGGATGAAAGGAAAGGCGCAGTAAGCCGGGGACTCCATCTTTCTTAGGTAAATTTTAAGAGCTCTACAATCATCAAGTTTGTCCATGGATGCGAAGGGTTAGGACAGAAAAGAGCGGGATAAGCTTCCATGACCTGTAGAACAGCATGTTGTCCTTAGGGATACATGCTGACTCTGTCTGGAAGACAACAGAATCCCTGTGGAAAGAAATAAGACCTTTTCTGGTGGAGAGGGCAGATGTGAAGGTAACAGGGAAAACAACTTTTTGTTACAGAATCCATAGTGGGATAAATCTAATTTGGTCAATGTGGAGAGTAAACATGCCATCATTTTCTCAGCTGCATTACTAAAGTAAAATTACAGAGGAATCAATCTGGGTAAGGCTCAGCCAAAGTGTCCTTGGATCTGTTAGTGTGACATGTGGCTATGGAAAGTGGGATGGAAAGTCATTCCCAGAGCCTGCTGAAGACGATGGACCAGGGCTAGGTTGCTCAAAGTTTTGTTTAGTTTTATTCCATTTTCTAAGTGTGGAAAAGGAAGGCTCAGAAGAGCACAAACCTCTGCTGTGCTCTGCAGCACAGTCTGATCTCAATGTTCGCTTATCAAATAAATGTCAATCGGATTGTCGAGCTCTACCACAGTAATCCGGAGTAAGAGTGATCTACTGACTGGAACGATCCTTGTGATAGGTGATGGTAGGAGGCTATCTCCTTCTTCTCTGTCTGAGCAATGGAGGAGGTGGAGGGAGTAAGACTTGCTCTTTGCAGGTTGAAACTGAAACAACCATTTAAAATGGCTACCCACTTGTTTGGCAGGACTCTTCTGCCGGAGGGTGGGATGGAGAAAGAATGGATGAGATCCCTTCTTGATACTGTTGGGAGTGTCTACCTGTTGGCACTCTGTGGCTGTCCCCCTCTCCTCCAAGCCTGACTGGAGGTGAAATAAGAGCTCCACATCATCTCCGGAAACAGTCCAGCAACACTGACACTTTGAGACTCAGGAGATAGTTACAGACAGCAGACCGGCGATCTCTTATCCTTGTGTCAATGAAATCCTGGCAGAGGCGAGGATGGGCAACTGCCCTTTTATTGCTGCTAGCAGCTCTCATGAGCCATGGTTTTCTTTTTCTTTTCAGGCTTTGAAATGGGATGTGGAAGTGACAAGCAAGGGGCAAAGAAAAAAGCAAAAAAAGGAACTCCCTCTGCTCCATAGGGAAGAAAAAAAACTGGCTGTGAGGGAAAAGTGTAGGAACTAAGATTTAGAAAATTGAGAGAAATATTGACTTGAGTCAGGAAGAGAGGAGAATTGGCTCTGTCCTGGGCAAAAAGCCTCAGACACTGGCCAGGAAGAGCTTCAGACCAGCACAGTGTTTAGTATTCAGTCACTGGGTCCCCGCTGTTCTGGGTGCTAGAAGTTAACACACTGTGGGATGCCTTCCTCTCACCAGCCTGGCAAAAGTGGCAGAATACTGTGTGTCTCCATTCCACTCTCAGAAAGCACATTTCTAACCCCATCCCCATGTGCCTCTCTCCACTGGCATCGTTGTGCTAGGAATTTCACCACACCGGAGCTACTAAATGTGGGAGAGAAATTACTAGTTACAGAGCAAGCAGAAAGGGAATCCAGAATCCTCATCCTGCTTCAGAGGGTTGTAAACAAATACTGATGCATCTGTCCATCTTGGTCAGACATACCAAGAAAAGGGAGTTTTGCAAAAAACCATGCATCTGGACAACTCCACCCCACAGTCTGAAAGATGGTGAAATACTTGGCTTTGCTGCATTAAACATGGAATGAAAGAATATCCAAAGCCTGACGAAATGACTCTCATGGTGAAACGATTTCAAAAATGCCAGACACAAGACTCACAGTAAGTTCATGACAAATAAAACATGCCTTACCTTTACAAAACTCATCCGAATGGTGCACATTTTGGTGAGCTCATATACCGCTTCAAACCCATGATTGACTGACTGAGCTAGAAGCTGAGCAAATTCCTGATTGTTAAAAATTTTTAGGCTACAGCCACTGGGGATCTTGCACACAGTTGTGGGATGAAATCCATGGTGATAATTACAGTTTCTGCTCTGTACAAATATGCTGCTATCACTCAGGCATTCAGCATAGACTTCCCCACCAACATAGTATAGGTGGACACCTAGAGGGATGGAGAAATCCCAAATATTTGACAGTTAGTTCAAGAAATAGTACACATAATATCCTGATCTATCCAGATCCCTCTTTTGAAAATGATTCCAGGAAGAACAAATGTGTCAGAACACTTTCATTCCAAGCACTCAGTACCTCATCAGCCACTAGATGTCCTACTTCCACAAATTACAGAATAGGATCCCTCGATAAATACATGATGAATAGAATAACTAAGATTGCCTAAATGTTTTGTTACAACTAGGGTCCTGTTACTAAATTGTGGTGTTGTGTAATCTGCTGGGTCACACTATGCCTGCTATGAGGGCACTTTTTGTTGTTCCTTGCAATGCTTCTATTAGAAATTTCCAAGTACTTTAAAGAAGACCCATGCAACCCCAGCCTTCTGACTTCCCTCCATCTGCCTTCCTCCAGACCAACGGCAAGGTCTTAGGTCTGCCAGGATCAACTACCTCTCTCTCTTCCACTGTTTTGTTTTCTTAACATGTTATACTAGCAACAGGGAACATTTCTACACAAAAGGGTCAAATGTGCACATCAAGAACAAAAGTTTAGAAAATGGTTACAATCTTTATAAGTAAGGAATAAATCCAAACCAGTAAAACTGGTATAAGAACAGGAAGTACTGTGATGCAAGGTTTCATATTATAGACCTGGTAAGATATTTTTATTCAAGTTGGCATGTGTTTTCTAACTGAATCATACAAGTTTACAATATTTTATTCATGCAGTGATTTACTGCACAGCCATTCTTTCATTTGTTGAGACCAACACAGTAAATCATCCATCCTCAAATGGATTCCCCTCCAGATGTTTTCAATAATTCACAGCACTTTTGACCACTGGTCAAGCCAGCTGGGGCTGATTGGAATTGAAGTCCAAAGCATCTGGAAGGCACCAGGCTGAGGAAGCCTACTGTAAATAGTTATACAATGCATACTTTCGTATTACCTTTTCCAATGTGTCTCCGGGTGTTTTCAATTGTTGAGTTGCGATTAACGTTGGAAAGCAAGCCTAAGCAAAATCTGTTCTTGTTATTAGAAGGATCTGTAAATCCATCTACTAAGATACTAGTGGAAGATGCATGGAAGGCTTCTCCAACTCGGTTATTCAACTCATAGTACACAATTGAACACCAGTGTTTAGGTTCTTCATAGGCCACAGGGTGCACATCTAGGAAGAAAAATGAAACATGTGGCTAATTCAGTAAAAAAAGCAAATTCTCCTACGTTTGGGGGCCAGCTCTCCCACCTTACAGTCTTTTCAGATTCAGAGGAGGTGGCAGATGACTTGATGGTTTCAAGGTTAAAAGTGAAGCTACAGGATGCCTGCCTTAGAAAAAAAGACATTTGCAAAAACATTTACACATACAAGCAAAAAGAATGTTTATATGTAATGGGTGGGCAACTTATGAAGGTGTGGGACACACTGCCCTCCCCAGGTACCCAGAAACCATGAGAGACTAGTTTCTCTTCCATGGGTGCCAGAATGGCCACCACTGCCAAATTTGCGACCATCATGGCACATACAGCAGGGGCTGAAGATGACCCAGGGGAACCACGTCACCTGTGGGCCACTCTGGACAATCAGATTTAATTACTTTGGTTGGTATGATCTGGTTGGCATGATTCACCACTAGTAGCAGTTAGCATGAAAAGCACATCATCAGTTCACCACTGAATGGCACCATTAAAAAGAGTCCCATTTCTTTTAAAAATCATTTTCATTTCATCAAAAATACTGAAGATAAAACAGATGTTTAAGTTCTGCCCTCTTACCCATTCTTGCTGGCCTAACTCTGACCTAACTTTGTTGACCTAACTTTGAGCACTCTCTACTCTCAACTGCATGTAATGTACACTTCACTGCTATTACAACTGCTTACTCAATGCCCCCTTCCTAGGTTGCTTATCACAACATGTGAAGCTGGAAACCTGGGCTGCAGAGAAAGAATGAACCCAGAGTTTTAAACCAGCAACAAAACCATGGCTGTTTGCCCTGCAAAAGCACAGAGTTACACGTTTAAATGTCAAGACTAACAGCCCCAGTTGTTTACAAAAGTAGAAATGAGGCAACAGTGAAGAGAGGGGCAACAGTGTGTCTGTTCCCTCCAGCACAGCCCCACCTAACTCTGGGGTGCTTAACCCCCCTGGCTGGTGAAGACCACATCATTTATTCCAAAGTCCTAAATTTGCCTCTAAAACTCATTTAGACATTTAGTTTAAGGCAGATTGTATTTTCAAAAGTAAATTATACTCAGAGCAAATGTGCCCCTCAGTCTCCTTCACTATCAATATGCTGAGTGGGGGCCAGGACAGAAATGCTGGCCAAAAGTCTTACAGCGACTGCTGTCTTTTGCTCCAACTATAAAAGCCTGTTCCATGCTGCTTTTTCCACATGTCAGGAAATGTACTTTATATTCAGGAGCACCTCTCTGGAGAGCCGATTCCACCATCAGGATGATGCCTTCACTGAAAAAGCCCTTCTCCAAGTTTCTACTTTTAAGAAGGCTTTCGGAGGAGGACCTCAAACAATGACTTCAGGGTCCAGGTAGGCACGTATGGGAGGAAGCGTTCCTTCAGATAGCCTGGCCCCAAGAGGTTTAGGGCTTTAAATACCTGAGCTCTTCAATGAATACCTGAAGCTGACTAATCCTGCATCAGGCCACTGACCTTTCATCAAGTTAATACTGCCAATGCCCATGGTCTCAGCTGATCAGCTAAGCCCATTTAATTGTGGATGTTCAAGCAGGGATGGACATCTTCTACCACTCCACATTTTTGGGTTACTACTCCCATCAGCCCTAGCAAGCACACCTAATAGTGAGGGATAGCAGAATCACAGCAAGCTGTTCTTAATTGGATTGGACGATGGATTCATGTAGCCCAGTACCATTGACAATGAATGACAGTGGCTGTCCATCACTTCAGGTAGGGGTCTTTCCTAGCTCTACATCTTGGTAGATTCTGGGGATCCCATCTGTGCTCATCTGCATGCTAAACAGGTGCCCTGTGACTCAATCACAGCTCTTCCGCAGGGAGTTATAAACCAAAAACATCTGATGGGTCACAAGTTACCCAGTCCTGCTCTGCGGAATGAAATGCAGCTGAAAATCAGCAGGCTAGTCTTCTTAAATTGGCAAAATATCAACAATGGCAAAGCGTTTGCAAGTCTATCAAATGCACTGTTTACCTCACCTCTGCTAGAAACATTTGGCATTATCTGAGGAATCATATTATTGCTTGTGTCCATAGACTGTGAAGTATCTTGCCCCATTTGATCTTCAGGGGGCATATATGCAGGCGGTGGTGTATCTGCTATAAAGAAACATTAGATAGTTGATGAAACATTTTATTCTACCTAATCAGAGCTGCATTTCCTTCTCCAACAGTCAATTGTTCTCATTTCTGTAACATTCCTATTTTCTGTCTTCATTTTTTCAGTTTCTTTGAAGAGCTAATACTTCTATAGTTTCATTCATCCACATGACATGTACTTCCCCTATAGTCCTCAATGACAATCCATTTAATTTAAATCTTTCCTATCTCATTCTCTACTTTTACAATTACCACTCCCTAGTCTCCTACCCTTTTCTTACTGACATACTTGACAACTGGATCAATCAATATAGATAACAAGTAATAGAAGAAGCAGAAAATTAGGACACAGCTATTTAAACATTCCTGGTTTAAGCATTCCTTACACCCTTTCTCCTTTTCCCTGGTTTGATTAGGTTTCTCTTTCATCAATTCCTCAACTCAAACACTCCCCCAACCATCTTATTTCAAGTTCAGAATAGGTACCACTTAGTAATAAATAACCATAGAACATGTGCAGGAACAATCTATATCCTTCACACAACTAATCTCAAGAAATAAGGAAAAGAGCAACACAATAAAGTTGAGAGGCTTTGGACATGAGTGTTGCAGAGAGAAGTAGAAATACAAATGCTTTATAATTCCTAGTTCCTCAAGCACCACTGATCTAAAGCTGCTCTTATGATTCTTTCTGGGAAGCCTAGAATAAGGTAAGTTTTCAAAAGCAAACAGCAGTGATGCTAATACTGTATCTTTACACGGCAAGCTATAAATGGGAAATTATATTATTAATTATACCTCCACTTAGTTGTTTTACAGAATCATCCATAAACTTTAGAAGCAAAGTCCCATTCATGGAACTCATGAGAAATATGCCTGGCACCAACACTATACATCTTCTATGTACACAGGCAAAAACTTTTCTGTCCTCCCAGTATTTTAACTTTTCTGTCCTCCCAGTGGTGTGCTTTTAAAATTATTACATATTTTTGTTCCTGCTGGATTGCTGTTTGTTTATTCAAATTATTATATATGCACCATTTATGTACATGTTAATTTTACTTTTATTATTTTATTTTTGTTGACTGGCTCAGATGTTGTACTGCTGAAATGTATTGTTATTGGAATGTACTATGATTGTTTGCTATTTTATTACTTGATTGTATTTTTACTTTAATCTTATTTTTAATCTTGTAAACTGTTTTAAGAGTTAAATGCGCTATGGAAAACAGTATATAAAAGCCTGTATAAACAAACAAACTTTATTATACATCCTTTTTTTAAAAAAATAACTTTCTGATAGAAAAATTCTATCTTGTCTTCCCCCAGTATGTCTTGTGTGCATAAAAGGAGATTAATATGGAAGACCATTTACTCATACCATGACAGTCTCAAGAAGTACAGTTCACAGACTTACCACCTCTGTTGTTTGTGCATGTTCAGCTTAAGTTTTTGGGTAACTGTAAGAACAACCTCCTAGGCATCCTGTCTTATCCCAACTTCTGGCTGCCACCTCTACTACCGTTACCCCTCATCTTGCCATATCATCTCTGCCTTCTATCTCCTGGCTCTTTTATTTGCTACACTGAATAATGCTACTACATGTTAGAGTATATACTTGGAACAATGTTTAACTGCCTGAATTTGCCTCTGGCATTTATTTAAATATATACCTCAGTTTTATTATACTTATTGTATGGATTTGAGGAGTTGTGCAATGTCCAGAAAGCTTTAACTATTGGGTGGCTGAGATATACAATAGTAATTATTATTACTACCACTAATAATAATGGTATATCCTACAGTTTACAATTTTAAGAAGTAAATTATCATCTAAGCATACATCTGTCTCATATTTTTTAAATCCCAAAACGCAGATAAGAGGGAAAATCCACCAAACTATCCTTTATCATCTCCTGCTTCTTGTTCTCCCCAGAACAGCCCTTCCATGCTGCTCTTCCCAGAAAAATTTCAACAATTGCCCAATTTCCTTCTACCCTTTATCTACAAAATCCTGGACTTTACTTCCCCATTCTCATCTCTTTTCAAATTCCACTCTCGCTTCCTTCAATCTGATCCTATCCTCAATGCTTCACAGAAATTGTCTTCGCCAAAATCACCAATAAGCTATTAATGCCAAATGAGCTATTATTCCTCAACTTCTTTGATCTCTTGTCTGCCTTCAACATTGCTCACTTGCTTGCTTGCCTCCCCTTTTTGCTTCAAGTCCCCGGGTCTCTCTTTTACATGTCTAATCATTCTTTCAATGTCTACATATGGCAAAACTCTTCCTTTGCTTTTTCCTTATCCTTCTAGGGTTCCTACAGGTTCTATTCTCAGCTGTTATTTTCTATTTCCTTTCCCTGGGTGGTCTCACCACAACTCACAGGCTCCAGTATCACACAGAACAAAACCAAAAAAAGTCCTTCCTCTGCGATCCTGCCAAAAATACTGGTCCAAGACCCAGGTCTTGGATTACACACTGGTTTCCTCTCCTCTGTCCAGAACTCTGTTGTCAAAACCATTCATATTTCTTGTTACTCTAACTTTTTGCATCCCTACACTTGTTTCCTATTCTCAACTTCACTTTAAGGCCCTACACACCCTTGCCCAATCTTATCTCATTGCTTTTATATGCCAACAAATCCATGATATTTGCTTCTCCAGGTCTGCCACCATCAAAAAGCTTCCTAGTTCTTCAACAAACTTCATTTTCTTCCCTTCTGTCTTAAAAATGAAACTGAATCCCTCTCACTGAAATCTTCCTTTTCTATGAAAACTTTGGTACTGCTACCTAGTTCCAATAATCTCCTGTAATGAAACTTGTATGTAACTTTAGGCTTTATTTGCCCCATCCTCATTTCATCTTCCTCTCGTTTTCTAGTTTGCAAGTTTCACGGAATGCAGACCTGACCTTTAATTCTTTGCATACCATGTACAAATAAGGCATTATACAAATAATATGAACAAAATGGTTTAACTTGGGTTTTCTGTTCAACTACCCATCCAAATCCAAACTGTGTATGGAATACATAGACAAATAGATCTTTTTTCACTTTTGTGCCACTAGATTGATCTAAAAATGCAAATATGTCTGTAAAAGACATGATAAAATATATAGCATCATATAGTTTTAATTCCTTTTGGCTTTATAATTAAAGTTTCCAATGGTTGCCAAGCAGATTGTCTTTACCTGGTAGCTGAAATGGACTAGATGGTCCGGAACTAGCTGGTGAATTCGGATAGGTACCACTCCCTGGGGATGGTGGATATGGACTATTTGGAGAAATGGGAAACGGAGTGTTGTTGGGCTGCTGGAACGAGTCTGGAAACGTAGCATTATGTGGCATGTGTGGTTCATTGTGACTTAGGTTTCTGAATTGAACCAAAAGACTATGTTGTGGATTGAATTCACTATGCCTTGGCACCAAGACTGGAGGTAGAACTGAAAAACAAGAGAACAATATGACTAAAATAACCCTAAAAATTGCCATTCACCGTAAGTAAGTGCACATGACACGTAGAACAAAGCATGTGCCAAAATTACACCTGGCAACGCACATCAGTCTCTGCACTTTCCAGTGGGAAAAATCTAGTTTTCTGCAGCACAGCAGTCTAGAAGGGTACAGAAGTCTGTTCAACTGGCAAATTATGTCCAGAATGAGGGATCTAGAAAACCTAAGCCTGAGCTAGAACCATCTGCACAGAACACAAAATGATGCTGTCCCTTTATGCAAGGGAACTGTGCAGGAAAAAAGGTGAAAAACAGAGAGATTATATATGAAACACCAAAAAGTGGGATGGTTGGAATAGAAAAATGGTGATTCCCCCCCCCAACTAATATGAATTTAGTATAACCAATTAAAATGCCTTTAATATTTCCATGGAAACTAATCATTTTTAGGGATTCAAGATGACCTGTTTCATCTAGCACAGATTTAGCAGTAAGAAAATGCAAGGTACACATATAGCATTAATGCTCTTTAAGGCACAGTAGAATTTACTTGAGGATAAAAATATATCCAGTTCAGCTCAGCCAGTGTGCTCCTCTTCATTTTTAACAGGCTCAACTCCTCAGCAAGCCATTAAACTGAAATACTATTTAACTTCATGATGGGTAAAGGCAAAGCGAACACACCTGGGCTCTCCACCCGTTTGTAATGATATGGATTGATACAGACTTCCTTCTGTTTAGATCCAAAAGGATATTCACACATGTCCAATGGCTTCAGCTCGTGATGACTCTGCAGATCAGGCCAACGCCAAACACGACAGTAAATAACATGGGGAAGGCCTTTGCGGTGAGAAACCTGAAGTCGACCATCTAACGAGCGAGGAATAGTAACACATTTACTGGGTTGTCCAGGGCTACTCAGGGCTTTCTCCAGCTCCTCCATGGCTCCTTTTTTCTTTTTCAGTTTTTTGACCAAAGCGTCAACGGCTTTTTCAGCCCATTTTTCCTCTTCATCACCTTGTTTCCAGCCCAACAGGCGCTTTACAGCTGGGCTAGTAAAAGAGAACAGACTGGCCATTGATGTCATTTGACAAGTCTTCAAGCAATTTCTAGAACTAAATTTTGGATTCTCAGGTGTAACAGCAGTTTTGTTACTGCTGCTGAACAGCAGCAACCAATCTTCCTTAATCCAAGAAAAATAGTCTTCTCAGGCCTGTTAAAAATAATTGCACTTTATTAGTTGATGCCATTTCACTTAAGAAGAAAGGCAAAGACATAAAAGATAGCTCAATATATTTAAAGATGATTAGATTTGTATCATACACAATACAGATTCAGTGACAGCCTTTTAATCAGTACCCACTTTCATGCCATGTATAAAATGCTTCAATGGGAAAAGCCATTGGTAAAGCCAAGACTGTCCGCAGCTTTCTTGGACTAAATAATAACCTTGGATTTTTTTAAAACTGCTTTTTATCAAGAGGTGAAGCTCTCTGAAAAGCCTGATGTCCCTTATGAGGAGAACTTAGTTGATTAAGAGGTCTGTGGAAACACACTGGTTCAAAAGAATACATAGCAACAGTCAAGACCTATTGCTGTTATTGATTAAAATCTTAATGCAAACTACCCACTACAGAAAAGGGTTATACAGTGGGAAGAAACAGTAAAGTAGGAACACAGACTTTAAAATTGTCAATCACTTTACATGTTCATTTTTTGAAGTCCCATGTCAGACCCAAGGCTGATGTTGGGCCCATGCATCACTGGACACCTGCTGAGCTCCTCACCACACCAAAGAGGCCTAGGCCAACCCCTAGAAGCCTGGAGCCTCCTGCCTTACTGCTATCTGCTTCTGACACTTCACCTGCTTTCCCTGAACATATAACTGGTGACCAGGGTGAGGAGGTTGTGCAGTATCCTTCCCTTCCATCTGGACAGCTGTGGAACTGGGCTCAAAGGAAGAAGACAAGTGAATGAACAGTGCTGAGATAAGCCTGCTGACCAAGACATCATCTTCAAAGACTTGCTCAAAACTAGACTCAGTAGTGGTTAGACCACAGGAAATGTACGTGATGATAAACTTTAAGTAAGTGCCAAATAAGCACTCGTTGCTTGTTTTAGAGAATAGTTATTGCCAAATGATATATTTTCCTAACAGTAACAAATCACTCCTTTTCTATTACTAACAAGAGCCATCTGCAACTTAAAAAAAAAAAATAAAAGGGAGTAACGATGACAAACGGAACTAGTGTGCTGTGGCAACATGTTGATAAGAGCTCATAAAATCCCTGAAGAATATTCAACAAGTACAGACACAGACAATAGGCAGCTGGCAAAAAGCAAGCACTAAACAAAGAAAAAGGATGTCAATAACAAAGTGAGTTCCGCTCCTGCTACAGAAACTGCCAAATATTGTCTTTGGGACTTGTGATAATCTACAGCATGTCAAAACAGCTAGCCTGCACTGGGACACTTTCAGTCCGCCAAGTCTGCAGCACTCATCAACAGAGAGGTGCTTGCCTGGCTGTTCCTCAAAACTGCTACCACCAGGTGACCCACTGTTGTGCATGAGAATATGCTTGGAAACAGCAGCTACTTGTTTCCCAGCTGAGAAAACCCAGCCAAGTGCTGTGCCTGCACTCATCAGAAGAGAGGTACTGGCAGCAGCTCTTCCAACATCTGCAACTCTCTCTTCCCAGGATTCAGGGACAAAAGGTTGCATACCTAAACGGGGGGGGGGGGGGAGTATACAAAGGTAGCAATCACCTGTGCTGCTGAGCTTCCCTGGCTAGGAAAATCTAGTGGATGTCCCAGCGGCTGCCAATCTTGGTCGCCTCTGTGCATTTCATCACAGGGACCAAACAGACAAAGCCTACTTCTCCAGTCCACACTTGGGCTTTATGCAAGTTCTCACAAATGGCAGGCAAACCTGTGGCTATACTGTACCATCTCAGGCACACTGATGGTGGCTGCAACTCTTTCACCCTTGGCGAACCGACATAGAATAAATTACCTTCAAAACAAAACAAAACAAAACAAAAATGCCCGGATGTAAGAAAAACTAAGAGGGTTTTTTCTTTCTGTCTGTCTCTCCGTCTGGCACGGAGATCCATTCAATCGCAAGCGCCGGGCGCTTAAAGCCTGGCGCGGTCCAGATCACAAGGAAATATGTCGGTATTTATCAGCAAATTATCCTTGGCGATTCTTATTCTTACTTTTACCGTCTCGTTTTCTGGCTTTGGCCGCGGCAGCAACAGGCAGATTCAGCCGACCCGCAGCAGCTTATTGTAAAACTGCAGCTTCTTTCGGGGACAGGATCGCGTCGTCTTGCTCGGGCTCCATGCAGAGCGGTCTCCAGGCCCAGCCGCACGTCTCGCCGCCACCGATTCCCGGGGATGCGGGCTCTGCCGCCGGCCCGCTCGCTGGGCCCCGAAGGCTTCTTTCCCCCCGCCTCTTCTTCAGGCGCTTCACCCGGGCTGGCGAGAGCCTGCAGTGCGGAGGGGAAGCCGCCCGCCGCCCGCCCCGCGAGCCAGGGAGGGACGAAGGGCACGCCGCCCCCGCCCGACCCGCGCCGCGCCGCGCCGCGCCCGAGCGGCAAGCGAGGAAAGCGACCTACCGCCTGACGCGCGGCCGGCGGGAGCGCCGGAGAAAGGAAAGGAAGAAGCCCGAGCCCCGCAGCCCAAAGCCCGGGGACGGCCGCAGGGAGCCGAAAGGGAGCGGGAGGAGCCGAGCGGGCAGCCCACGTGACTGGACACAAGTCGGACGCTGGTTGGCCGAGCCAGTGCTGCCACTCAGCGTGGGGAGGAGGAACCCTCTCCTCGCCCCTTCCCTGAGAGGGGGGCAGAGGCGCGGAGGCAATTGGCGTACATGCCAGAAACCCCGCCTCACTAGGCTGAAGAGCGGAGCGGGGACGGCCTGACGCGTTTTGGAGGGGGTCTGTGCCGCCCAGCACTCCTCAGAGGGCCTTGGGATTGAGGCAGGCTCCCCCCGCCCGACTTGGTGTCCTCCAGATGTGTTGGACTTCAGCGCTTCTGTAGCGTGGCCGGTAGTCAGGAATGCTGGGAGTTGTAGTACAAAGGATCTGGAGGGTGCCAAGTTGGGGAAGGCTGAAATGCAGACGCTCTGGGCTGTTCTCACCCCGGAGTGCCCAGCCCACACATCTGGGGAAGTCCCATCATTCTCTGCTGGCAGTACATTTGGAGAGCACAGGGTAGGGGAGGCTGCGTGAGGTTGCCACCTAACTTGTGCTGGGCTTCTGATTCTTTGTATCACTGAATCAAAATCTTCCCAAGTAAACCTGCTTCTGAGTTATGTCAGCAATCCAGAGCCTTAAAGAACACCAGAATTCACATTGTCTTTGTATTATCTCGAGGTGAAATTTCCTTCACGCGGAAGAGCACCTATTTTGTCTGATCCAGGATGGCTTTCACGTTCTTAGTTTCTGCTCCTCCAGAGCTTCCCCTCCCAAGAAGTTTCTGTGCCTAAGGAAGGGGCCTCTCCTGCTCAGAAATACTCAAGGAAGATGGCAGGAATTCGTATGAGAGCTTTCTCAAACTCTCTGGTAAAATAATCAGTGGTTTTGTATAACAGTGTTTGGCTGAAACTAGCTGAGGTTCTGCTTCAAGTACCTGTCAGTAGTAGAGTCCACTTTACCCTTGGAAGCATTGATGGAGGTGAATCATGACCCCTAATTTATGTTTACGAATACTAACCTTTGAATCAGTATAATACAGAGTCTTGAAGTTGAGTGGAATAGGGAATTAGTTCTGCCTAATCAATGGAACACTGTTTGTGTGACTGTGATAGAAGGGTTCATGGTTCTTCTTGTTGTTCTTAGTTGCAAAGTCAAGTCCAACCCATCGCAACCCCATGGACAACATTCCTCCAGGCCTTCCTGTCCTCCACCATCCTCCTTAGGTTACGTCTTATTCAGCAAAGAACTTTTGTTCTATGTTTACTGGCCACCACAATGATTTTTTTCACTAAGGGTTTGCCTATGTTAGTTATCGTATCTGTTGAAGGTGTGTGTGATATTGCTAATCTTTGTTTACTCATATGTTTTGGCAATGTCCAGCAGTTGCTCCTTTCTGGGTAGAGGTTATAAAACAGATGATAAACTTAGTATTAGAATGCCATTAAAGATTTAATAATGTGCATGTTCTTCTCAATTTGCCACCTGTATAGAGCTTATCACAAGGACAATGTACATGGATTTTGTACCAGCCGGAGAGTCATTCTGGCTAATGGGCAGGGTAGAAATTTAATAAATAAATAAATTCCATATCCTTTTGACAGCCAAGGGGCTGATAGTACCAACACTAGAAAAAGGCCCACCTCTTACAACATAATAGATGGCAGACCCTCACAAAGGGCTCCAGTATTTGAATGGGTGGCATTCACCTATAGAGGAATAAAAATATGTGTGTATTTGACCCACCTTTTCCAAACTGTATGCAGAACTGTTTCTCTTGCACATATACAAACTTATCAACACACCTTTTATATACACTTTTATTTTCACTATAAGAATATTGCATTTTCCTATCTTTTATATGAATTTTGTTGTCTTGATGAAAATCCTGCTAAAATTAATTTTTTAAAAACCCTCTTGGCCATGAGATAATAAAAGCTTCTCTCAGGAAAGTGTTCCCAGTGTGAGATTATAATTAGAGCCAGATTTTGGAGCAATGCCAGGATCACCTGGAGAAAACAGCATCTCCGCAAATACAACATAGCAGTTAGTATAGTGCATGCAGAATGAGGTGTGGCTGTTGGTCAATGGGAAGAATCCTCTGGGCCTCCTCCTAACTCTCCGACTGACTCTTAAGATTGCTATTAGTGCAGCTGTCAGTGCAAGTTGCTCTCAGCCAGTGCTTCTTAAGGAAATGTGATAGGCAAACAGTGTCTGATGATATGAATCGCTACCAGTGCCTAACCTATATATTCAATTTTAATACAAACATTATAAAGTATCTGGAACTCTATCCTGTAACTTGGTTCAAAGGAAGCCAATGCAGGTATTTGCTGGAGCCCCTGAAACATCACCTGAGAATGGAGAAGCAAGAACATTTCAACTGTGGATGATAGCCAGCCTTCATTTCATCTGCTCCAAACTGCTGTTTTTATGTCCATCTTAATCTCTACTTTCCTCCTCATCTTTGGGAGGTTCTCAGTGGACACTGTGAGCCTCTGAAAATATGTACAGTTCCTTGCTGTGAAAGGAACATAGGGTTTTTTTTTTCTCAAATCAAAGCAAAATGTGCATGTATACGTATTAGTTTTCATTATGCCCCCTCACCTGCCCAGAAACTTACCATGTACACAACTGAATCTTTGAACTGCCTTCAGCCTAGCTTCCTGGGACACTAAGGGAAGTTCCTAATTACTGCAAACCATCCAGCATAATGCAGCTGCCAGCCACTCAGCTGCATGGAGAGCAGTCATAGCAGCTTCCTTCATGGGCAAATGGCTGCTTGAGGAGGGTTGGGGTTAAAGGAGTGAAAGAGTCTACAATCCATCTACTCCTGCTGCAGTCCTAACATGTGTCTCCCTGCCTCCGTGGTTGTTACTTAAAAAAGAAGGATCAAGTACCAAGCACACTTCTTCTGTAATATGTGGTGGCCCTCATGTTGTGGCTTTAAACTGTGTTGAATGCACAGTGCAGGTTAACAGATCACAAAATACTTGGCACCCGTACAAAAGGATGCCAGGCATCTCTGTCCGTTTCTTGAGATGGGTTTCTGTTTACAGTCCGTAGCATACGGTTGTCACACACATGCAGCTACGCGCTTTATGGGACACACCAGTGCAGACAGCTGTGCTAGGGCAGTGCTCGCAGCTGCACCAACTACAAAGGCAGCCAAGCTGCCTCCCCCCTCCTGCCACCGCATTTGCATCCTCCAGGTTTGAAAACTGGCCAAAGGGCAGAATTCTGCCTGGGCCTGTAAAATTCTGGCTGGAAAATTATATTCCTGAAAGGTTTAAAGGGAAGCGAATGCTTAGCTCCCATCTTACAATACAAACAGGATGGGAACAAGGCTGTTCCTGCCCTACAGAGAGGGGACTCAGGATGCAAAAAGCCCCTCCCCTTCTGCAATCACAGGTATTTACTTGCGTGATCTAATCAATAGCGCAGACATAGCTGGCAATCAGTCACTATATCCAACATGGAGATATAATATTGTAAGTTAGAGAAAGAGATGTTCCCAGAAGTACTAGGAACTTTTATACGAGACAAAGATGTTTTGCAAGACCTGCCAAACCAGCAGGCACAACATGTTTGCAGAAGAATCCCATAGTCCCTGGGTGAGTATTGGGTTCCTAAGACTGTAGACACTCCTAGAACCTCTGGAAAGGGAAATCCAGATGTTCCCCCCTTCCATACCGTCACAGCTGCACCTTCAAGGAAGTCAACAAGTGGCAGGGATAGTATGCAGGACCACGGGCAGGGCCAGCAGGATCCTAGGGCCTTTTCATCACCATCCCCACCCAGAAGAAGGTATTTTTAAAGAGGACTAGGAGGTGAAATCACTTCCATCATCCTATCAGGCTGTTACTGGCAGCGTCTAGGGTAGACAAGGATTGGATCTCAGAGTTCTCTGTTGACAGTAATCCATGGGATTATTCTCCCAATAAGCCAGATTCTTTCCAAGTGTTTTCAAAGAATTCTAAAGAACACAAATCTGAGCTAGGTGTAAGGTGTTCTCAACACCTCTGCTTTTTAAGAAAAGTAAATGCATAGAGTGTAATGTCCCCAAGATCAGGTAAACTTTAAAATACCTTTAAAAAGACCAGCATCACAGTAATGTATTACAGTATGCGTATATGAATTCAGTGACAAAATGTATATTGGTTGGTGTGCAAAACCCATTGACCCAGAACACAGAAACACTGCCTTGTATCAAGAGACCACTGTCAACTGGTCTGATTTTTTAAAAAAATCCTCTATGTAGAGTGACAATTCCCGGTAGGTCTAAGCTTGCTGGTTAGTCAGGAGGGATACACATTTGGCAGACACGGCCCTGAGATTTGCCAATATCCAGTGGCTAAGTAGTGCCAACAGAATTCAACCAGATCATCACAAGACTGAAAAGGCTTTCATAAAATAATTGATTATTTCTGGTGACAGAAGCTGAAGTGATGTGATAAAAACATATACTTATTGTATATGCCACAGATCAACATTAAAATACAAATGAAAAATCATCTGAGACTAGAACATAAGTTAAGCCATGTATTTTGGAACTGCAAACAAGGTTTTCTTAAATGAAGAAAAAATAATGGTATTTCTTGTGACATCCTGTATGCATTAGCAAAGAGTTGTGTCTCGCTGCCCATCGGATCTTTGCGATATTTACTTAAACTCCTCTCTCTCTCCCTCTACTGTGCTCTTGATGACCATTTAATTTCTGTTTGTGGTACTATATTAGTGGGTGAAGAAGTGAAAGTTTTGCATTAAAATAGTTAAAAGGAACAACAAATTGTTTAAATGGAAAGCTAAGTGTCAGGTCTTTATTCAGGAAAAAATACATTATGTAATTTTTTATTTATTTATTTAAAACTTTTATATGCCGTCACCACGTGCCTCGGCATCTCGGGACGGCTCACAAACGTAACGCTTATGTTTGGTTATAAGGTCTATGACATAGTTGCTTTTAAGTACTACTTGCTCTGTTTAAAAAATGTAACTGCTA